GGCATACGAATCACATAGCCCATTCCCTTCATTGCCCAGATGGAGAAACTGAGGCTCAGGAACGTGGCAGAGATGGAACCAAGGTCACCCAGGGAGATAAGTCCAGAGTCTGGTCTCTTCTCTGCCTTGTTAGTCCTGAAGTTTTTCATTATGAAGTCCTCCCCTTTTCTTTAATTTTCTCCCCCACATCTAAAGCTTTGTTCTCTTAAATAAGCTGCATTTAAGCCACTGCTAACTTTTTAAAATCAGTTAGACACATTTAGCTGTTGATCAGTACTTTTTGATCAGCGTGAGGTAACTGCTGTTACCAAATTCACTTGCTATAACCTGGTAAAAAAGAGGCTTGGTGGTTTGTGGGCACATTCCCTCTATTGTTAAGCTTTGTAAAAGATTGAGACCAGTTCACTGATGGCCCATTGCTTCCTTCAAGGGCCCCGGGCAGGGCATCAGGAGCTTGCACCATGTCTCCCACCCTCCATACATAGGAGCAAGAGAGCGGCAAGCACTAATGGGGAGAAACACAGAACACCGTAAGTGGAAGAGAGTGGAGAAAACTCCAGGGACCCTGCATCCAGTTCCCTCAGGGCCTGAAAACTTGGTATTTCTTGAGTAGAGTCTCCTCAGAGAAGAAACACAGCAGACAACTCCTGGGACAGACAATGGAGAGCTGTCTGGGTGTTTCTGTGGGTGGGCATTTGCAGGGGAGCAGTCAGCTCCCTGGGGTAGCAGTTGTGGGCAGCAGGAAAGAGCATCTTCCTCGCCCCTTGAAGTCTAGATGAAAAATGCCAGAGCTTTGGGATTTGGAAGAGAAAATTGATTGGGAGCAAAAAACAAACAAGGCTTTCTGCTGTTCTTTTTTTACATGCTACCAGTTTTAAGTGTCTCCTTGGAGGAGTCCTTTAAGAAAATGGAGCATTCTCTATGATAAAAGAGAGAACCTAAAAAGCTCTGTGTGTGGGTCTCACTTTTAGAGGATCTGTTGCAGAGACAAGTGGGTCTTTAAACACCTTCCCAGGATCCTTGATCTCCTCTAGATAACCTCACCTTCCATTTCACAGCCAAGCGTGCCCCTGATGTCCACCGCCTAGCCCCAGGACTTTGGCCCAACCACCTTGGGAAGGTCAGGGAAATTGGAGTTGCCCTCTGCAGCTAGGGACGTGAGACTTAGAACTTCGATGGATCTCTTTTCATTAAGCAGAGCCCTGGCTTAACAAGCAGTTTTATAAATCTGAAGCTGTCTCCGGGTGTTGGAGGATTTATAGACGGGGGTTTCTGCCATAAAGTGGTTTATGATGGCTGCCTTCTGTGTTATTAGTAGCTGTCTCTTCCTTCAACCATTGCTGTTTGATAATAGCCTTAAAACACCCGGAATTACTTACCTGCAAGCCCCATTCCCAATAGCCCCTGTTGACAGTCTGAATAAGTTTACTGCCCTTTTGTTGTACTTTACCTTCAAAACAAACTGATTGAACCATCAATAGCTCGTGGAAGCTGACAGAGGCATGTCATCTGGACTAGCCCTTGTGATTGCAGGTTATCTGGGGGAGTTAACCTTCCCGCATTGTTAACTGAAATGTTTTATGTACTATGCAACTTTAGGATACGGCTGTGATAACCCCAGTAACTAAGTAATACATCACGGTAAAGAGATTTTGGTGCAACAAATAACCCTGGATTAAATTTACAAGGGTTGAATTGATATTGTAAAAGCCTTCATTCTGTGGCTTCGGGAATCCTCTCGTATTTTTATGGCAAACTTCTATTATACTCAGGATTGAAGCTGCAGCTTTTGACACCCTGATGTGACCTAGAACAAAGGGAAATAGATCTCCCAGGACCGGGAAGCGACAGGCAGGCAGAAAGCCCACTGACTCATCTATCACTTGACAGTAATGTTTAGAGCCAGTTCCAAGCCACCAAGGGGCTGGCAGATCTGGCATAGGTGTCTGGGTGCTGTGTACCACAGACACCAGGGCAGAGCAGACCACTGGCAGAATTGGGAAGGAGACTCTTTGCCATCTTACCAACCTCATAATTCCAAAGCGATTATTCGTCGTGGTGGTATTTTCACTTGAGCCGTGGCTCTCAGGAGGACGGGCAGAATCACCCTCACCTGGATCTTAGTAGAAATGTAGAATTCTGGGTCCCATGCCAGGTGTGAATCAGAGATGCCAGGGTGGGGCCCTTTGATCTTCATTTCCATGAGACCCTAGGACCGCTCAGGTTTGAGAACTACTGCGCCCGGATAGAAGCTCCTTGAAAGCAGGGACCTTGTCTGTTTTGTGCATCACTTTACTCTCAGCATCCAGCACAACTCCTGGAAGGTAGTAGCTGCTCAGTGATTATTTGTTGGGTAAGTGAAGGTGTAAGTAAATGAAAGAGGACATCTCTGAGGGGGGAACTGTGGACCCAGTGCCGCATCTCAAACTGAACCATTTGGGGCTGGCATTCCTAGTGGCTGGACCTCTCCAAGCATTGACCACCTCAGGCCGGCCATCAGGATGGAAGTCAAGCCATGCTACATTTCAGGGGTGACCAGCAGCCTGTTTCATGGGCTCTTTTTTCAGTTGTATGAGAAAAGTGCTCTGAAAAGAACAGCTCTTTGTCATCTAAAAATTTTAACTAGCTTAAAAGCCAGTGCTTCTCTTTCTCTCTCTCCTTTGATTTCAGGGCTGTGCTCCAAAGTGGGGCAAAATGACAATGTGCTGTCTGTTGTCATCCTGGTTCCCGCCAGCCCCTTGGAGACATCTTTCATTCCATCATTAAACATTGGCTGATTTTCTAATACTGATGTTTTCTTCGCCTGAATATTCATCTTTTCCCACCCTACACTTAGTGGGTGTCTTTACTCCTTTGAGCGTCACTCCTGACATATTGTTTCCGTCTGTACATGTCTTCATTTGAAAGAATCTGTTGTCATCAAGACTTTGCTGCTACAAGCAGAAGATGGAGGTTTTCTCTGACAGTGACTGAGGCTGGTGGAGCTTCTGCTGGAAGATAGAAAGGCCATTTGGGCCTTGGTGGAGCTTTTCTGATTTGGGGTGAGGTTTAGAGGGCATTTGCAGGGGGAAAAGGGAGGCTCAGGGAGAAGTGGGAAGTTAAATAATAGATTGAGGCCCTGAGGAAGCAGGGAGTAGACAGCCAGATTTCCTGGATTTTAGATGTTGGGGTGGACATTTCTGGGGAGGAAAAGTATACCTCAAAGGAATTCAGAGCATTTTGATTTAAAAAATGAGTAATACAGAAGTTATGGCTGTGTCTCTGGCATTTGAGACACCAGATAAGTCTTTTCCCTGAACAAGCCTATGCAGGCCCCCTGGTGAAGTGGGAGCTCCAAGCTGTATACTACACGTTTTCGGTAACATTTTCACTGAGATAGCTTGGGTTGCTTTAGGGTTTGATTTTTTAATGCTTACTTGAGATTTCCGGTTCTTTCTCTAGCCGGTAGGTTTCAGTCATTCAGTGAGTAATGTGAGGACCTTTCTCTTTGTGCAGTCTTGGCTTTTGCCTAAGCTGATGTCTAATTATTTCTGCATGAGTCTGTCTTCCTCATTATGCTGAGAACACATTTGTGGGCAGTACCATATTGTAGTACCTCTATGTACCTAGGGCCAGGCACATAGTAATTGTTCAAGAAATATTTGTGCAACTGAAAGGAGCTTGTATTTTACTGAGTCATTCTTCTGCTCTTCTCCCAGATGGTATGAGGGTGAGCAAAATAACTTGTCCCTGCCTTCGAGATATTTATCATTGAGGTGTGGACATGAATTGAACACCAATCAAATGAGTTAAAGACAACAAAATGTTGGACTATATGGTGCTGACCATTTTTCCTGGGAGTGCTGAGTGGAGAAAGCACTGTGGGCTAGAGGTGCAGAAGAAATCTTCATGTGGGTTGGGATTTGAAAGATGATACTGAGGAGGCTGGGTACAGGGAGGAAATGACAGAGTCCCATGAAGATAACCCATCGTTCTTGACATTGGGTACTTACCTCTTCTTCCTAAGCAGGACAGGGTCTAACAGTTACTCCTTTGATTTATGAAATATAAGGGCTTCATAGAAAGCATCTGGGCTGGTGACTGTCATGATGAAGTGTTGGCAGGTGTCTATACCATTTATGTATTTATTTATGTTTACATACCTATCTCCTGAACAGGTAGCATCTTCTCATCAACTCCATGTATACCCACTTGAGGAAAATTCATCACACAGTTAACCATTGGCTTATTCTTGGAGGCCATGGTAGATACAAATGACCTTCCAGGGGAATGGAGAGTCATAGTATTGGTTGGGTTATTAATATTCCTAGAAACCAACTCCTCTGTTTTTCCTTGATAAAGATAATCTTCATAGTGCCAGTATAGAAGTAACTCAACAATGAAAAGAAAAGACCTCAAGAGCCCTGTTTGATTCCTCAAAGAAGCACTTCTTAGCTGTATTTTTTCCTTATTTCTGTGCCCGAATCATCCAGGTTATTATAACCAATATCCTGTTTGTTTGTTTGTTTTTGGCCTCAATGGCAAGTCAAGGTCTCCTGTCTCAGCTTCACATTAAAGATTTGTTATCATCTCAGAGATAAGCATTTACAGATGACCTGTAGGAATAGCGGTGACACCAGTGGTACAGTCATGTTGTAGGTTAGTTTCAATGAGAACTTGTTGTGTAGCAAAGAAGGTGGGTCAATTTTCCAGAATAGAAGAAGGGAAAAACAAAATACATTGATAGGATCTTCATGGCTAATCCAGGTGTGTGTGTGTGTATGTGTGTTTACTTTTGAGTCATGAGCAACTATTAGTGTATATTTTATAACTTAATGTGTCTGTGTAAAATATAACCACTTGGATTTCCCCCAAGAGTGATGATTCATTCTTTGTGAAAGAACAGAGGGAAGCACTCATTAGAAGAACCTAATGGTGTAGATTCCTGAGCATCAGACAAACTGAATCTCTGACACTGCCTCTCCAGCTTTCCTGAGTTGTCTCTGACTGTTCTCTTCCAGATACTTTGTTCTGCACAAGCTGCCCAATTTGAAGTTTCTAGATGCCCGGAAAGTAACAAGACAAGAACGAGAGGAAGCTTTGGTCAGAGGGGCATTCATGAAGGTGGTGAAACCCAAGGTAAATGGCCTGCTCTCTGGTCTTCACAGGGATTCGTGCCTCGTCTCACTGGTTACTCTGAGTATGGAGGTTGTCTGTGTGTAGAATGTAGGAAGTATCTCATTATCAGCGGTTCATCCATGGGTACAATGTTGGCCAAGAAGAAGTAGGACTGGGTATAAATTGGGTCTTCCTGTGACCTAGGCTAAGGGACCTTATTTGTAAGGTGATTTCACCCAGGTAGCCGTTTCACTAACAAAGCAGCCCCATCCACAGCCCAGTTGGTGACATTTCTGAGTGTGATTTCAGACCTTCTTGAAGATGTTTCATTCCCAAGGTGTGGGGCCTCTGTAGGAAAGCATTGTGCATTTGCTACTTCCCAGGTGAACGGGATTCCTCTAGTGCTTTGGGGGGCCCTTTTTTCTTAGGACCAAAGGGAGCTTGGGAAGAGTAACTTGTCTTCTGTCCACAGCTGAGGGCTTAACAGCTGTCAGAGATGCTGTTAGTGGGGATGAAATTTTTCTGATCATTGACCTGGGACTGGTATGTGCTCCCTACATGAAGCTCTCCAGAGCTCATGGGAGAGGCGCCTTCTAACCTAGCCTCTATCAGTTGGGTCTGGCTCAAGGCTGTGGAGGTGATGAGGTAGGGAGATGCAGCTTTGGGTCTGGATTCAGGTGCAAAGAGATTTTTATGGACATGGACAGTCATGCCTCTGGGAGGAGCTTGGACCCTCCAAGCGAAGCCTGAGGCTGGAGGACGGAGAGTGGACTGAACATCCCTGACGACCCTTTTGGAGGCCCACCACCGCTCCGGGGCTCTGTGGAGCTGCGCAGTTGCTTCCTGCACCATCCTAGCCTGTGTGTTGGAAATAGTGGCTGAGAAATGCTAGAGGTCTCGTTTGTCCTCACTGACTGATGTAGAACCCTGTGCACATGCACTGGAAATGATTAAGAAGGAAAGAGAAGAAACCAAACAGAACCAAAGCAGAAAAACGAAACACCTTCCATCCAAGTTGCTTGGTGAGTAGCAGATCTCAGGCCACTTTCCTTCCTTGAATCTGTGAGGTGCAACTTATTTTCCATTATTCTGAATAAAATTGCCGACAGTTGTGGAAATATATGACATGAAGGATATAATGCTGGCAGATAAACATCTTGTGACCTGTTTTAGCATATGGGAAATTAATTAATTCATTTCCTAGCCACTAAAGTGTTAACACTTTTCCTTATCTTGGTACAGATTTGATGTATTGCTCGTGACTGCCTTTAGTTATTCCAGCTTTTGTAATTTTGTCCAAATGAAATAATTTATTTCTTGGCTGCCTTTTTTTCCCTTAGTTAAAAGAGTCCAGAGACAGCTGACATCACCAAACCAAACAAAGTGTAACAAATGAATCCTTGATGATGTCTTCAGTTGCCACCCGTCCTACATTTCTCACTTTGTGTGTAGAGTTAATCGGTATTTCAATTGTATTGTCTCTGACACTGGGAAACTCTACATTACCACTAGGAATCTGAAAGGGTGCTAAATGCCATAGACATCCTTTTTGGGTGGGGCATCCATGTGCCTGCCCACCATTGTCCTAAGTTCTTTGTGTACAGATTTTTGGGTCCTCATATAGTGCTCTAGTGTGGAAGAAAGAGAGCATGGGCTAAGGCTACACATGAGGTCCCTCAGGCCCACAGGCGTTAATTGGGCTGCCCATGTAACTGGCTGGTAAGTACTGGAACTCAGCTCTACTTGTGTGCCTGACCACAGAACTCACATCCTTCCACACTACTTTCTTACCCCTGGAGCAGTAAACTAAACATTGCCCTGCACACCTCTGTGTTCCAACAAAACCTCATAGGAGGGCCTCTGTGAAGAAACCGCTAAAAGCAGGGCTGTTGTGCTGGAGAAGAGATGGGGGAAATGACAGGCCCTTGATTTTGTGAGCAACTAGGAATGGATTCTTAAAGTCCAGTAGGGGCTGGTTCTCTGAGTCATTAGCAACAACAGAGATGCTCTTCAAAGCCCCAAATTAGTTTCTAGTCAGTTACAGAATTAGCTAATGTTTGTGTGATTGGACTCTTAACATCCTCACTGTATAAAGCTTGAAAAATATCCTTTCATTATTTTAGGAGAGACAAAAATACCCTGGGCAAAGCCGGAGACCTTAGGTTGTTATTTTCTTGCTGACTCATCTGATTTCCAAACTGGAGAGGACTTCAGAAACCATCTGTTCTGTGATCTCATTTTATGGCTGAAGGAGCAGGGAGGGAATGGAGTTTCCTATGGTCCCTACAGGCTTGTGGAGGCAGAGCTGCGACCAGAAACCATGGGGCTGGGCTTATAGTGAAGTGTTCTGTTCACACCATGATCCATCCTTCAAGTACGTTAGTGGATTTCTCTGTGTTCTTGGTTTCATATCAAACTGTATGCCTCTCTTGAATGGCAGGTGATTCCCTTCTGTTTGTTGTTTTCCAAGCTATGCACCAGTACTTTTCTTGCAGATGGAAAGAGGCCAAATGAGCCCCTTGCTGAATTTATAAATTGGTGTTAAAAAGGCTGCTTTTTGCCTGCTCAAAGTACGTACAGATATATGTTTGTCCCTATGCAGGTGTGTATATACACTTTCCATCTCTGTGTATATATATGTATGTATGTTCTGGGAGGTATGTGTACACCCAGAGTCGGCTTCTAAGTGGAGAGCAATTTTCTCCTCATGAATTGCCGACACTGTGCTGAGCATACTTGGTGGAGACCTATTTTTCTTACCAGAATCAGAATCTCAAGTTGGCTTCTGTCCTTTCCGAGGCAGCAGCAGCCTGTCGTGCTTATTCAGCAGAATGCTCTGATGGATGATCAAGGGGGCCCTGATTTGGGGAGCTGTTTTCATTTTCTTCCTGACAGAAAGTATTTGGAAGAATAGAAAATGCCTCTCCAATCACAACCCTCACCTTTGAGGCGGGGAACAGCCATCTGGGTGTTCTCTGCTGACGCAAATGCAAAGTCATCCCGGAACTAATAAACCCCCTATGTCACGAAGGTTTGATTTGGTACCTGGCAGGCCCTGGCGCGCAAGTGCAAGGTCTCTCTTGCTTTCTCTCACAGTGACAGATTTCTCCTTCACTGCTGCCTTTGGCTTTTGTTGCCTTCTGTCTGAGGTCTGCTTGTACTGTAGAAAGATGCTGTCATTCATTAGGAAATGATAGCTAATGCTGTAACGGACTCTTCCAGACTTGAGTGCCTGTGTGCACATGTGCATTGTCAGTTCATGGTCCTACAACAGCTAGGCTTTGCTCATTTCCCAGAATTTTAAATATCTTTGTCAAATATTGACCTTTGGATCCTGCCATTTTCAGTGCAGAGAGCACCAAGCTGGCTACGGAGAAGGCTGAGGACCCAAAGACAAGCTTCTGTAATGACCAGACGCTGACCCTCCTGGCTCACTGCGCTGGGAACTGTGGATCCAAGCCGTGCAGAGGTCCGTCCAGGAGGGCATGTGTGGCAGGCACAGTAGCCCTGTGCATCAGAGAGACAGTTCAAGAATCTGACAGTCAGAACTGCTTAATTATGTCCTGGATTTGTCACTATTCATCCCTCTTCTCACAAAGAGCATGATTGTCATTTCTTTGACATAATTATTTATAGCTGAGCCCTCTTGTTTATGGGCATGTATATGAAGTTGACTACCAACTCTTTCATCTTCAGAACCTCATAGAAGCAGTGGGTAGAGCAGCTACAGGGACAATGGAACTGAGAAGCACAGCCTGTGTTAGGAAGTCTTGACATCTGTACTGTTGCTTGTGATTGTGGCCATTCTCTTATAGGTAGGAAGCAGTATTAGGTGTGTTTGTGAGTGTTGCTGTGCCCTTGAAAATATGGCATGCCTGTCTTTAGGTGGGCATGCCTGCGCTTCCTATTATGTATGTGGTTTGTCTATTTATGTGCATCTTTGGAGTATTTTTTGGGGAGTCAGGAAACTATAGTGTGTGCGCACGTGTGTGTGAGAGAGGGAGGGAGGAAAAAGGAGGGAGGAAGAAGAGGAGATGTGATGTGTTAAAAGAATAAACTCTGGAGGATCTGTACCTTCCGACATCTTTTGTATTATTGTCCCTAAGCTGAGAGTTGGAGAGTCCAAGGACCACCTGCGTCTATGACCACACCATGCAGTCTTGTCTTGACACTTGGAGTTAGGACCCAACTCCCCTGGGTACCTTTAGTTTCTTCATCTGTGTCTAGGCTTTTTGGATGCCCACAGAAAGGGCAACCTAAGATAAAGAGAGGATAATGGAAGCACAGACGGCCAGCTCTTTGTCAGGATGAAACAGCTGCTCGTCAGCTGGGGTGTCAGCTCCGGGAAGGCAGGAACTTTGTCTGTTTCAGTCACTCTCATATCCCAGGGCCTCATCACTGGCACTGGTTCAGCCACTACTCATCAGAAGAATGAATTGGGAACAACAGCGCGCTTGGAAAGATCCATCAGGAAAGGTGACCCATTTTTTTTTTTATGTAGTAAGATGGTTCTCTAGAAGAGCGGGAGAGGGACCTTTGCACTAAGAAAATATAATAACCTGTATCTGTGTATTGGTAGGAAACAGAAACTCTGGGTTGTGTACTTGTTCTTCCAAAGGATTTACCTTGGGATTACTTATGATGGCAACACCCATGTCCACCATGATCCCTGAGCCCTGGCTTCTCCCTTGGGTGACATTGCTGGGGGAGGCCAGGGTGCCATCTGAGTGGCGTGCTCTCTGTCTCTGCTTCCAGGGTGCTCTGTGTCCTCTCAGAATCTACCTGCTCATATTAGGGATTTTAGGAAATAAAATGTAGATTTTCTCGGAACACATGTTGGGGCACTTCATAAGTCTGTATGTAGTTAAAATGAGATTTTCCTTTCTTAGTTACAATTGCATTTTTTGTCTGTAGCATAAAGGAACACTGTGTAGTGTTTGGTTCACTTAATTGTTCTTTATGCCAAGCCTAGTTCTTTACTAAGTGCTACCTTGTTCTAAATCATAGTATATATGTCTTTC